CCCCATCCACGCCATTCCCCATGATGTTCTGCCTCACCTTGGGCCCAGAGCTATGGGGTGAACCAACCATGGACTGAACCTCTGAAACTGTGAGTCAAAATAAAATTTCCCCCTTTAAATTGTTCTTATCAGGTCTTTTGGTCACACTGATGAAAAAGCTGCCTAAAACAGAGTCTAATAATGAAAGTAACTTAGAAAGCAGAGTGGTTGCCTAGCATGTGTAGGGCCCTGGATTCAATCACTAGATCACACACACACAAAAAAAATAGTTTTGCCTTTACACAACCTGTAATTCCAGCAGGATTAGGGGAAAACAGGTTTGGTAGTGGCATGCAACACAAACTGTTGTATATGTAATGTCTGAAATGTTGTATATGTACAGTCTGCCTCAAAAGAATTCCTTAGTAATACAGAAAGAACAAAATAATGCTTGAATGCAATACACGTTAAAAAAAAAAAAGAAGAAGAAAGAAAGAAAGAAAAGTATCCAGCACAGTGAGGCATCCCTGTAATCCCAGTGACTACAGACAGGAGGAATTCAAGGTTTGAGGCCAGCCTAGGCAACTTAGCAAGAATCTGTCTCATAAGATAAAAAGGACCAGGGATATAGCTCAGTGGTTGAGTGTCCTGCGGTTCAATCTCCAGTACTACCACTCAAATAAATAAATAAATAATGTTAATTAACAAATAAATATGTAAACAGTAACCATTAAACACTTGTTTTTCCTGATCTGGTGAGTGCTCACCCACAGCATAAAATAATTCCTTGCATTCTTAAAACAAATATGAGGGGTATAATTAAATGTTCATCTGATAGGTCCAGTGAAATGATAACATTAGTTATTACCATATAGTACCCACATGATAGGTGCTTTGCACTTATGCCCCTTCAGAAGACAGTCCCTTTGCTCTGACACTCAGGATGCTTGGGTTTTGTTTTCTCTAATTCCTGTTCTTTCCCCAGGCTATCACCTGCCATCTCTTAGTACTATTTATGCACAAACTATAGAAAACACCTTTTGTGGTTATGTTTTTACAACTAAATATTTGAATGGCTCTGGCTTCAATGAATTTCATGTTTTAAGATTGGGAAATAACAAAAGCTGGCCATCAACCAGCTTGAAATATTATTTGACCTTTTGGTTTGAAATGCTATAGAAAGAAATATGTTTATAAAATTAATACTTATTTACTTGAAATCCTGGTGAACCTCACTCCATAAAGTTGATAGCTTAGCTACATGACATTTAATACTTGTTCCAGGTTTCCTTCCTCCTAACTTTACCTGTTTTCAGAGGAACCTGCAAGAAGAGCAAATGCCTTTGGAAGCACAGCTAACCAGTATATTCTAAATATCAACTGTGCCTAGGTTGGGTATCACTATCACCAAGATGACAGCGTACGGAAAAAAAATAAGTTTAACTTTATGAATGTATCTCTTTCTATAACATTTCAAACCAAAAGGCCAAATAATAACCCCCCCCAAAAGAATCACAAGAAATAAAAAAGGATTCAAATGTTGAACCAAAGTTCATCAAATCATATTTCACTTGATTTACAAAGAAAAGTAATTTTTCTCTGTTTGGACACATTAAAGTAGGAGAGACACCCAGCCAGTGTTTTTATTTAATGTTTTCCAAATGATCTCTGAATTATTAGATGCTATGCAGTATTTTCAAAACTATCTTGTAGATTTCAAAAGCCTGGAAAATTGTCTTAGGAAACTGCAAATCTTTTAGGTCACTGAACAGATTCTGGAACAGATTGTCTCACACCAGCTCATACTAAAGAAATATGGCCATTGATGGGGTTCAGGAGATGTTATCCCAAAATATGGCACTTTGGCATTTGAGACAACAACAGTAGAAGCAGGAAGGTCACTCTGGCCTTTCCCTCACCACCCTCTACCCTGAAGCAAACCACAAAAACCAAGCTGACCCAGAGGGATCCTCCTTACATGCAGGGGGATGTTCTTTGAGAGCCTGCGGACACAGAGAAGAATCTGAACAAACATCCTTCAGCTGTTAAGTTCCTCCCAGTTTATTATTTGATCACATCCCCTTTGTCCAGTCATTCTTCTGTATGTCTATCCAACCAGACTAAGCAAAAGTATACCCAGGTTTCCCTGATCCTCTGAATCTTCATTTCTGAAGGCGCCCATGTCATGCAAAACATTAAATAAGTTTGTATGCTTTTTTCCCTCATTAATCTGTATTTTGTTTTAAGGTCTCAGCTATTGCCTAGCAATGGGTGGGAATATATATATATATATATATATATATATATATATATATATATTTTTTGTTTTTTTTTTTTTTTTTTGTTTTCCATACGCTGTCATCTTGGTGACAGTGATACCCAACCTAGATACAGTTTACCTGGGAGAAAGACTTGAACATGCTTCTCAATTAGTTTTTGACCTTCCTTGCCAAGTTGTATATAGTGAATATAAGTAGCCAATGGAAATAATTTACTTTGAATTATGTGTGAACTATATATAATGATTGATCATGATCATTTTTATTTAAAAATATTTCATGCAGTATACTCCGATATTTTGAATATGTTGATGATCAGATCCACACATGGGATTGTCAAGGATTATTAAGAAGTCTCTCCCATTTCAGTTATCAGAAAATGAATAGTCAGGGGTACGGTTCAGTGGTAGAATGTTTGCTTAGCATGTGCAAAGCCCTGGGTTCCATTCCCAGCAAAAAACAAGAAAAGAGAGAGTGAGTCATGAAGACAGGGAGGATGGAAAGAAGGAAGAAAGGAAGGGAAAGAACTAACAAAAAACAAAAACCAGACAAGCTTAGAATGAATTGTGTGCAAAACCCTTTTTGACACTAGACATTGTCAATGTTTTACAGTTACAGACATTTAGCAACTTACAGATAAATTACTGAAAGATAAGTAAAATACTGTCCTTGACTTCAAGCAAGGTAGAGTATAGTAGGAGAGACAGAAATATTAAATAAAATGCAAAGGAGGTGAAATATGTGTTGAGGTAGGTTAGTGGTAGGACAAATGTGATATCTCTTGCTGGATGGCTCAAGGAATATATCCAGAAGTGAAGATTTCTCATCTGGGTTCTAAAGGATGAGAAGGAGTTTTCCAGTAACAAGTTACAAACAGAACAAATAGAAAAAGAAAAGAACATCTCAGGAGGAGAGAGAGTAGCATACATAAGTATGTAATAGAAAAGTTTATGAGGGAATTATAAGTGGTTTGCTAAGGTTAAAGGAGAGGACGTGTATGAAACTGGAGGTAAACAATTCTGTACTAATTACATAGAAGGCAAATTATGCAAGGCCTTGAGTTTATTGAGGAGTTTTCTTTATCCTAGAGTGGAAAGTCATGAAAGCTTTTTAAACAGATGAGGAACAAGATGACTAGGTAGAAGCATATTATTTTCTTCCTTCTTATAGCAAAATGAAGTTAGCTTTTATTTCCTGTTGGTGGCAACGTTTCAGATACATGAATAGGTGTCTCTTTAATATTTTATTTCAATACAAGGATAGTGAAGACATCTTGCTCACCTTTTGCATGCTCAAATTTGTTTACTTAAAAAGCAGCTATCAAGCCAGGTGTGGTGGCTCACATTTGTAAACCCAGATGCTTCAAGGCTGAGGCGGGAGGATTGTAAATTTGGGGCCAGCTTGGGCAACTTAGCAAGATTCTGTCTCAAAATAAAAAAATTAAAGGGGCTGGGGAGGAGCCTCAGTGGTAGAGTGCTTGTTTAGCATATGTGAGTCCCTGGGTTCAATGTCCACTATTAAAAAAATATAAAAATAAAAGCAACTAGATATACATCTTCTATGATACATGCTGGGAAAAGCAAGTCAACAGTCCTCAGTCATGTTAGAACCCCTCACAGAAAATTACTTTCTGCATCTGACAATCAACCTCAGGGACAGCTGGCTAATCAGGCCACATAAACATCTCACTGATATTTTTCTTTTTCTTCTTTCCCTCCCTCCCTCCCTCCCTCCCTTCCTTCCTTCCTTCCTCCCTCCCTCCCTCCCTCCCTTCCTTCCTTCCTTTTTTCCACACTATATTTATAGACTGAACCCAGAAGGCTCTATCGACCACTGAACTACATCCCCAGTTGTTTTTATTTTATTTTATTTTTCATTTTGGGACAGGGTTTTGCTTATTTGCCCAGGCTGGCTTCAAACTTGTGATCCTCCTGCTTTAACCCCTCTAACTGCTGAGATTTCAGGCGTGCACCACCAAGCACAGCCATTGTATTGATTTTAAAAGGAAAGAACTCTGACTCTAAATGGTTTTAGGAAGTCTTATCTTTTACTTTACCTTAAAGGCAACATAAATTCCATGACATACCCCTCCTCTGGTCCTCTCAGACTCAAGGACAACAGATTTACAAGGCAAAGAGGCTTCACCTCACCTCTCTTGCCCTGCTAAACAGATTGTTGGTCAAAGCCCAAGCTCTGGAGGAAGCCTGGAGCCACTGCCACCTTGCAAGGGCACAAATAAAAAATGACAGAAGCAGGGGCACGCAAAGCCTTGGTCACAAAGGTCTGTGCAATGAAATGAACAAAGTAAATGGCTAGCACAAAGTCCCAGCACTGCTACATTTTAACAAATGGAAAGGTTTATATGGAAAGGCCGCCAAAAGCTTAAGCAAAACCCTTACTCCATGAAACCCATCCATAAAACCAGAATAACAGTATCAACCTTGGAAGGTTGTTGTTGAGAAATTAAGCAAATAACACACACAAAGTGCTTGGAAGGTAGTCTTGCACTTGGTGAGCACTTGATGATAAATTACAGGACTGTCGTGATTATATGTGGCACAGGATGAGCATCACAAATTAGAGTATCATTAATATTATACCTCATAACTGCCCTCTAACTATTCCAACTTATGAATCTCCAAGAGGTTCTTACTTCTGTCAAAGAATATTTGCTCAATACCGTAATTAAGTTAAATAATTATTAGAATGTTTTCAGTGAAAAGATTAATAGCTCTTCTTTACCTCTTCATATCTGTCAAAAACTGCTCCTTCTTGCAAAAAGGAAGGGACTTCCTTCTGCCAGTTAAATTCATAAGGTTTGGCCATGATGATATTCAAGACCTAAAAATGAACAAAGAATATCTCATTAGTGTATGATGTTAAAACACAAGTGGCCATCCAATGTTTACCACCTTGCATTTACGTATCTGAAATGGCTTTTCTCTAAATATGCAGAATAAGTCCATAAATTATCATTCTTTTGTTTTCTCTTCTCTTTATCTGACTCCAACTTTTCTTCCAGGCTTTTACCCTGGAGAGAAATTATCATTTTATACATTACATGCTATAAAACAGATCTTCAGAGAAAAAAATGGACCTTCAATAAACAATTACAGGACAGCTAAAAGTTAGCATAAAAGACAGATTAGAAAACAAGATGATGCCAGGCTCCTCAGTGGTGCATGCCTGTAATCCTAGGAGGATCACCAGTTCAAGGCCAGCCTCAGCCATTTAGGGAGGCCCTAAGCATGATAAGAAAGAAAAAAATAAAATAAAATTTAAAAATGCAAGGGACAAGGATATCTCAGTGGTAAAGTGTCCTTGGGTTCAATTTCTAGTACCAAAATATATATGTATTTTTAGTACATATTTTTATTACATATTACATATATTTTATATACACATATATTTATTTTTAATATATATTATTAAAAAAAAAACAAGATGGTGAGGGCCGAGTTTTAGCTCAGTGGTCGAACATATGTTCCACATGTGAGGCACTGGGTTTAATTCGAAGCACCAAAATAAAATAAATCAACAAGGATGGCCTCGTTATTTGGCAGACTACAGAACACGATGGCAAAACATCCCTCCTCTGCTGACCTTTATGTGTTCTGTGATGTTCTCGTTCTTGACAACCATCCCTTTAAATTTTTCTCTTTGGTTTCATTTTCAAAGGAATAGCAAAAAGAGGCATCTGATATAAAAAGCTCATATCAGAGATAAAAAGAAAGCTTTTATCCACGTGCATCATTGTTCACTGGTCTAGCTCTGGTTCTCCCAGGATCAACCTAAGTGCCCAGTACATGATGCTTTTCAGACATCACTGCTATTCTTGCTACTAAACTATTCATCTCCCTTTTGGGTACCAATTTCATCAAAATGGTCTTATTATATGAAGGACTCTAGCAGGTGCAGAGGCTGATGGAAGGATTTAGGATTTGGAGGGTGACGGATTTAGATGCTGATCTCTAAAGGAGATCTGCAGTGAAGTTGGGAATACTTGAATACTCCTCCTGCCCCCAGCCCCAGAGTTTTGGGTTCAAAACAAGGTAAGAGGTATTTTGGAAAAAATGATATTAAAGTTTCCCCTCTTTTTCCCCCCAATTTGAAACTGGGGAAGGGAAAGCTTGTTTCTGTGATATCTCTGAAATGCTTCCCTGAGTTTGGCATTAGAGGCAGTCTCTGGCTTGTTTTAAATAGGTGGTACAACTATGACCAACAGATTAGAAAATGCCTGACCCAGCCAATTACAGTTTACAACAGTTTAATCCAGGTCACTGATTTAAAAATGGGCACAAATGAAGTTCAACAGACTTCACATAAAGTTAAAGGGACAGATACTTCCTTTTAAAGGTATGCAGGGAGACGGACAGCGGGCTGACCACTCTATATAACTATATCCTTTTTTCAATTATCCAAAATCCCCACCCACAGCTAATTACAAAATGCTTTCACTAGGTCCTGCCAAAAGTTCCTCTTCTTTAATCCTCTAGCTTGCCCTGTACAGATTCACTCACAGGGCATTTCATTACCTCCTCACCCACTTCAAGGGTACCACCTCACCATACAGAGGAAGGGAGCAGCCTTCTGGAGGAACCCAGGAAGTCAAGGTGGATTTACAAAGTCAAAGAATTGATAGATAGCCCGCCATCTTTTCCAGTGTAAACACCATGAGCAGTTACTGGAAGGGAGCCAAAGGGCTTTTAAATAGTCTCATTGTTTCTAGATTCTTATGCAACTGAAGGGGTTAGTTATTGCACTGACTACAGAGGAAAAACTCTGGGCAGCAGAGAGCTTGGTAGAATGGGAACCAGAGAGCAGGGGAGTCCTAAGTGGCCTTATTTCATAATAAATGACATAGAGCTCCTTCTATAAAAGACGATGAGGCACTCAAAGAGTTAGTAGAAGGAGCACAAAGGAGCCAAGGTGGGCTGTTGAGCTATCAGATATATAAGCGGCATAAACACAAAGCACAACACCCACGAAGATGGTCTCCCACCAGTTCAACTGAAGTCAACCAAGGAGGGGCAGCTGTTAGGTAGTAGCCAGCAATGAGCAGTGAAATACATAGTAAGGTCATAAAGCATTCTTTAAATTACTTTAGGATCCTTCTTCAAACTATCGTAAGAAATCAAATGACAGCAGTTAATCCGTAGAAAACAAACAAAAACAAGGGAGCTATTTATAAAACACAAACACGTCAAGAAAAAAGGATTAATGGGACTATTCTTGACAGGGTCTACTGAGGTTGATGCGAAGTTAGGAATTATGGCTGTAAGTGTCTCCATTTGTCTGGGAAGGAAGAGTCCTTTAGTAGAGCAGGTGCACTAAGGTACCTTCTGACCAGCTATGGACCCCAATGCCCACATTAACATGGGATTGACTTGTAGATGAAGCTCCCCTAAACAGGTTGGCCACCATGACAGTTCCAGAGGACCAACTAAGGTCAAAAACTCCACCATCCAACGTGAAGGAGAAGCTGAATACACCTGATTGGCAAAGAGTGCAGAAGTGGTCCCCAGGTCTCTTGATAAACATCAAACAGTAATAAATTTGGAGACAGCTTTGTCTCCTTTGTTCTCTGCTTAGAGATGGACCATTCATATTCTCTCTCTCTCTCTCTCTCTCTCTCTCTCTCTCTCTCTCTCTCTCTCTCCCGTCCTCTCTGTTTAAGCTTTGCTTTGCTTTTACTTTTTTACTTTTCTTTTATTTCACTTTATCTTTACTTTCACTTATAATGAAGTTCTCTGGCATGGCTTTTGGTGTCTGACTTTAACTTTTCTATCACTGGAACAAAAGAGCCGAGGTTTGGAGTTTCATCTCCCTGTATTCCTATGACACAGCCATTCAGGTTTTTGTGCTACTTGACCCTGCATCTTTATACCTGCTGTGTCACTAGACCTCTAAGATGATTTAAAAATATATATAATGACTGAATAAAAATCCAGTGTGTATGTATATATACCACATTTACTCAGCCATTAAGAAAAATGAAATTATGGCATTTGCTGGTAAATGGATGGGACTGGAGAACATCATGCTAAGTGAAATAAGCCAGACACAAGAAGTCAAGGGTCGAGTGTTTCCTCTCATATGTAGAAGCTAGAGCCAACTAAGGAAAAAAAGAGGGGTGGGGGGCAGATCCCACAAAAAAGAGGAAGGATCAGAGGAGTACAGGAAGGGGAGAGAGGGTGAGGGAGAAGCCCTGGAAAGGGGAGGAACTGAGGAATGAAACTGACAAAATTATGCTATGCACACATATGAACATAACACAGAAAATTCCACCTTTATGTATATCTGCAAAACACCAATAAAAATAAATAAATAAATAGAAGGAAGAGTAGTAGGATAGCAAAAGGGAGTAGGGAGAAGGAGGGCAGGAGGGAAAGGAAGCATTGATATTTCCTGCATGTATGATTATAACATAATAAACCCCGCTATTATGAATAACTGATGTACTAATAAAAACCTTTTTAAAGTGTTGCTAGATCTATAAAAAGGTCCTTAAGATTTACTAAACCACCTATCCCAGATGTGCTGGGTCAACTAATAGAGTCAACATGCCCTGTCCCCCCAATACACAACCTCCTAGGCCAATCTGCATCAAATTTCAGTCAACAATTGCCCCCCCTCCCCAGCTGCCCTCCCTGGACAATGCTTAATTTTGTGGTTCAGAATGAACAGAAGTCAGTACATGAAAGCAGGCATATTTGAGGTACATGGATATGATAGGCTATATAAATGACTCCCTCAAAGATGCTCACACCCTGAACTGCAGTAAATTGCAGTGAATGTTACCTTATAGGACTAAAAAAAAAAAAAAAAAAAACCCTTGCAGATGTGATAATGATCTTGTATGGAGACATTATCCTGCATCTTCCAAGTGGGTCCTAACTGCCATCACAAGAGCCTAGCTGCCATCACAAGAGTCCTTATATCAGGGAGACACAAGAAGATTAGACAGTAACAGAAAAGGAGGAAATGGAAGGTGACTTAAATGTCACATGTCAAGAATGTTGAGACCACCAGAAAGTAGAGGAGGCCAGAGTCTGAAGAGAACATGGTTCTGAGGCATGTAGATTTCAACCTGCTGGCCTCCAAAATAAAATGGTGCTGTTTTCAACTACTAGTTTGTGGTGATTTTTTTTTAGCAGCCCCAGGAAGCATACCATGTACATGCAGCCAACTGAAGCTGGACATCTTTCCTATAAGGTCTAGAAAATTGCCAAAACAATCTGGAATGCAATAGAGGTGGCTCCAATTTGAAAGGAATGGTCATTTCACATACATCCATTCAGTGGAATCAAAAGAAGATGGAAACAAAAGTCCAGAATTAAATGGAATCTAGAAATGACTTCTCAACACTCTGCCCTTCTAGTCTGAAACCCCATTGAACTGTAAAGATATTATTTCTGAAGTATATACTTCCCCGAGTTCCAAATCTTTTTTAACAACTCTGCCTCTTAGCAATAAATATAAATTTTAAATAAACCCTGAAGCTTCCCCCAAGTCAACCAAGACAGTCTCCATTTTTTTATTTCTATTTGTGAACTAATGAATTCATTTGAAAAAGCATTTGCTTCCACTAACATATAGCTTTCAATTGAATAAAAATGAACCATGCCAAGTTATGAATTTTATTAAGTGTAACTTTTAACCTACCCACAAATAAGTTCCATGATGAAATAATCCCTTCCCCATCTAACCATGCAAATCCCATTAAACCAAATAACCCATGACCTCAAATGACCCCATGATGAGAATAACCAAGATTGTTTTCAAGAACACAGAAAGTTGGGATAAAATTTCCACTGACTGAAAGTAAATTAGTTGGCTCT